TGGGGCTGTTTATATACTCTAGTCCGGAAGTCGTAATTCTCAGTTCCATGGGGCTACTTTTCAGTGGGCGAGCTGACGATTCATTGGACTATTTGACCGAATTCAAAATTATATCTTTATATATAACATATCTTTTGCATTTAACTGATGATTTTGATCAAATTACATTTTATTGTAACTACACACACAATTTACATCTTTATACAATTCATTTTCTTATCTTCAATCATACAATTCCTCATTAAACTGTGATCGAGCTGTACCGTTAGATTACTAAGTGTAACGTGCAATTGTTTTCTTTGCGATCACAAAAACGTTCAGTGTCTAACCTAGATTTATGTAAATATGTTTGATACTTTAATCACCAAAACCACATACAACAACTTAGGATAGTTTTTTGTCCACAATAAAGAGCGTCCATCGCTCTCGATTTAGATTTATAATTTTGTATTTGTTTTATGTTCTATGCATGTAATTGATGTAATATTTGTTATTATTACGTTCTTAACGGATGGCGCATTGGTAATGCACTCGCCTTTCACCTAGCCGACCGGGGTTCGATTCCCGGAACGGACGTGAAAAGGTTAGGGGTCACCTGCCCGACCACGTGGGTTTTCCCCGGGTACTCCGGTTTCCTCCCACTATAAGACCCCTCGCGCGCTTACATCCGGGTCAACAAGAGTGATTAGTATAAGTTGATATAACTTGTTTCGCAATTGTTGTAAAATAAATAAAGTTTATATTATATTATAAAAGACCATTAGGGCCATCAAAACACACAGTAATCCAAAAAGGAAATAACATCAAACAAACTAAAAGGTTAAAGACAAACGCTAAAAATCTTAAATGGGTCATCACCAAAGAATCAAATAGTACGTCATAGTCTATCATATAGACCAACATCTTTCAGGTAAGCTAAAATTTTACAAATCTCAACAGTTTCAAAATGAGTTTTAGACTTGTACGATAAAAACATTCTCGAGTAGACAGAAGGTCTATGCAGTCCAATAAAAAATGTTTAACGTTGAATGGCTCATCACATCCTACACAACGAGGATTATCTGTAATATTTTTGTCTTGATAAAGGGACAATTGACTCGAAAATTAAACAACTAGCTTGTCCGTATTGTTGCTGTATCATTGATTATATATCAGTAATACGCATCCAACATTTGTTTGGTAGGATAGAGTACCAATATGAGACCATACCGTCGATATTACTTACTAGATTACTACTAGCAATGAACGACTGAGGAAATTTTGACCAAATTTGTTCGAAAACATCCTTAGTGGAATGGAAACAAATCTTTTTCAATGGTGTGTCCCATCGCTAGTGGTGGGGCCAAGGAGGGGGAGGATTTGGCTAGTTCTTTAAAATCCTATTCCTCCTGTAGGAACGATTGGATTTTGCCCAAATTAGGTCAGAAGCTTATTTAGGTGAAGGAAAATCAATTCTATATAAACGATTGATATTGGCCCCTTGGGGTGGGATTGGAGGGCCCAACATGGTAAATTGAGCAAAGTCTTTAAAATCCTACTCCTACTGTAGGAATTATTGGATTTTGCCCAAATATGGTCAGAAGCATCTTTGGGTGAAGGACAATCAATTTTGCATGAATTGTGGATCTCGTCCTACTAGGGCTGGAGAGGAGGAACGCCATAGGGTGTATGTGTTTGAAAACAGTTTGGATCCCATACCATGTCCATGTATAGCATTGCTGGGCATAAACAGATAAATACAATCTTGATGTAAGAATTGGCTCTGAGGTCTAGCCCTATATAGTGTTTGCATATTAGTAAACATGTTCGTATTGTTTGGTGTATGGTGTTTATTATAAATGATTATAATACATGTATACTTAGTGTAGATTCTTGGTTTCATGTATATTTGCCAAAATTGTTAGTATTTCTCGTGGATGTTTTTAGGATTGAATTTTAGTGTTATGTTTCTGTTACATATTCTGGTAAAGTTAATTGCAAGTATGTTATTAATCGGATGTATGGTCATTATTGGTATTATACATTGAAGCTTGGTCCACATGGAGACTCAGTTTGTCCGAGAGTCAAATGTATGGAAGCCCGAGGCGGTCTACCACCAATAAGGCTAACGCATGAACGAACGCCAGTTCCTTGTTTTTGTTGTTGTAACTTAATTGTTACCTCGGCATGTCTTTGCCTGCAGGAAGTAACCTCAATGGACGTGCTGTTCATGAACGTTTATTTGCATTACTGCATGTTTGGAGCCCCAGAGAGGATAATCACTCTAAGACAGTGCGGCCCTATTTACACATTTGGTATTTTGTCACGTTGCTCGGAGACTACAATAATTGAATTACAGATCAGCTACATACGTCGTCAGGCAGGAGGACAGTATATCCAATGTTGTTACCTTAAATTAATACATCCGGTTCTTCGAGTGAAACTTTTGGATTCATAGTTCAGCAAAGGACACTCGTAACTGAGCCCAGTGGTGTGGACAGGTGACAGACATTTAGGATTTTGAGTGTCAGTTATTTTGTAGATAATTGTATTCTTGTAATTTGTATAGAATATGGGAGCATATGGTGTGAACGAGAGTGTGAGATGCTGCCGCAAATGTATATTTTGTAAATAAATGTATATATTGTATTTCTATGGTCTCTTCTTTCTTTACAAGCAATATCATCGGTACACAATAATATATATTCTGGTAGCCATTATCAATCTATCCACCATATATTTCAGACAGTTGCCACCAATTGACTTCTTTACTATATTTTAGACCTTCTTATATCATTGCTATTACCTAGGGTATTATAATCCTCTATGCAATAAATTTTCTCCTAGAATCACAAGATATTTTCTTGTTGCACCAAAAAACCAAGATTCCTTGATATTCTATATCTGTCTTCTAACATTCCCAACTCCCATCTCATGCCCCTGCAAGCATATCTATTAAGTAAATATTGTTGTTACCTTCAAAATATAAGAAATAATATATTATTCCTGTACAGGTAAGTGATTTACTTACAGGTAAACAATCTGTTATTGCCTGCTAATATTGGCTATGGCTAGACAATTAGATAAACACTGTCCCACCTGGGTACTGTCTATAGGTGTTATGTAATATCTGACTAGGCGTATTCAGTAAATTGGACACCGCTACATGTACCCTGTGGCCAACTGACTGACCAACAACCGAGGTATAAACAGCAAATTTGTAAAACGGATATACTTATAGTATTTATCTCAAGGGTGGATAAAAATGCTTTAGAGGGATATTTTTTGATGGAGAAAAACGTATCCTCTGATACTTGTATGATTGGAAAAAAATATCCAAGTACGTTTTTGATAGGGGATATAAATATGATGTGGCACAGTCAAGAAAATGTAACGATAGTATTTGTCGATACAAGTCCATATTTTGATATTAACGTGTCCATAGGATTTTCTTCAGAATACCAGAGAGATTTTAAGATATAATTTCTGAGGCAGGGTGAAATGGTTGATTTATATATTATATCCACAATATTTGTGGTAGATGCACGTACATATGTAATGGGCGTGTCTCTGTGTGCCCTCAGCTGGGGCAAGCTGTTGTACATGTTAAAAGTTGATCCCGATTACGTTTTGTTTAGTTTACATTGTGATTATAACAGGTTCTTAAATCAACAAAAAACCTATATATCACGGGTAATTAACTACCAATACAATATATATTTTAGTCGCGTGTCACAACTCACAGTACAAAATAATAAAACAAAGGTTATATGCACAGACATCAAATTGATATCTTGTTGTTTTTATTATTATTACATTCTTAACGGCCCGTAAATATATAAAAGGTCATTTGGACCATCAAACGGTAAAACACACAGCGATCTAAAATGCTACATCATAGTCCATTATATAGACCAACATCTTTCAGATAAGGTAGCATTTTACAAATCTCAACAGTTTCAAAAACGGATTTAAGACATGTAATGTTACGTTCTCGAGTAGACAGAAGGTCAATGCAGCCCAATAAAAAATGTTTAACGGTGAATGGCTCATCACATCGTATGCACCAAGGATTAGCTTCGCCTTTCAACATATATGAATGTGTAAGGTATGTATGACCTATCCGATGACGGGCAAGGACAACTTCGTCTCGGTGGTTGTCTCTATAGCCTGGAGACCATTCACCGATAACAGGTTTAGCGGAGTGCAGTTTGCTATTGGTATAGGTATTCCAATCCTCCTGCCACTGAACTTTTAAAATGTGTTTAATAAATGGTTTAAAATCGGTGAATGGCGTTTAAAAACAACAGGTGGTAGCGATAAAACTTCCTTTGCGGCACGATCTGCTTTTTCATTGCCTGGTATTCTCATGTGCCCAGGCACCCAGCAAAAAACAATAGGAAAGTTAAAGGCAAGTTCATGATATAGTATTAATGTATTACGAACGAAAATATTTTCGATATTTCTATTGCTGTAGAACGGAAAGAGAGTCTATATTACCTAATAGATGTTGGTCTGTATAATAGACTATTACGTACCATTTTAATCTTTTGTGTGCCAAGAGGCTCATGAGCGGAAGAAAGGGAAGTGCGCCGATCTTGCAGACGACGTGAGAGCAAAAGGATGGAGTGTGTGGGTCTTGCCAGTAGAGATGGGGTGCAGAGGGATCCCTGCACAGTCCATGTGGAGGATATTTTCTACACTAGGCATCCAGGGAAGAGACCGAAGGGCAGCTGTTCAACGACTATCAACAACAGCAGAGAAGTCGTCCAGCTGGCTTTGGTGGAGAAGAGAAGATTTGAGCTGGAAGCCATCCATCGACGGGCAGTGATTTGGCCAATCACTGTCGACTCGCCACCTTGAGGACGTCCCAGGATAGGAGTCGAAACGTCCAGTGAGAGGTGGTCCTGGCTGATGACGTCGATGGATTCTGCAGTCTAGCAAATGTTTTAAGGTAATTACATGTACAACTGGAGCATCCAGTGACTTCCAGGAATGACTGGATGACAACCAAGAATAGAATGGTGACACTGGAAAGACAGATGACGACTAGGAACAGACTAGTACCAAGGTGCCGACCTGAGGACATACAACGGCAGCGCACAGGAAGAAAACCTGATGAGACGCAGGAGGTTCCCAGCCAGGAGTCACACCATAGTGCTGAGGACCTTTTCGCTGTTGTGCCTTCGCAGGAAGACACCATGAATTCATCTGAGGGAGAGGCAAACCAGGGGGTTCAGGAAGGCAATATCCACATAGAGAGAAGGCAGCGGGTTAAATGGCCAAAGATGGACGACAGAAAGTTATGGAAACAACTGGATGAAGACCTAGATGGTATATTAGAAGCGACGCTACAAGGAGGGGTGGAGAAGATCATTTCACTTACGACCATTGTTTACACTGTCAGCTGTGAGAGATTTGGTGTTCAAGAATGGAAAAGAGCAGAGGTGGTCCACCAACCTAGTAGGAGACAACAGGAAGTGGCAAAACTCCGGAAGGAGTTAAAGGTATTGAGGAAACAGTACAGGAAAGCGAGTGAGCTTGAAAGATACGGACTGCAGCAGCTAAGATATGACATCAGAACAAAGCTAACAACACTACAGAAGGCTGAAAGATCAAGGGAGAGCAGAAGGGTTACGGCAAAGAAAAGGGCAGCGTTCATTGCCAACCCCTACAAGTTTACATCCTCACTTTTGGGGGGAGAGAGATCTGGCAGATTAGAAGCCTCGAAGGAAGAGATAGAACAACATCTGAGGGAGACACACTCTGATGCTGGTAAGAACAAGCCTCTTGGAGAGTGTGAGAGAATACCATTGGAGGATGAGCCTACATTCCAGTTAGACGAGAAAGAACCAACCTGGAAGGAGGTTTTTGAAGTTGTGAAGAAAGCAAGATCAGGATCAGCACCTGGACCGAGTGGTATACCTTACAAAGTATACAAGATGTGCCCAAAACTTCTGAAACGGCTCTGGAGGATTCTGAGGGTGATTTGGAGGAAAGGGCAAATTCCGGAATGCTGGCAGACGGCAGAAGAGATATTTGTACCGAAGGAGAAGAACTCTGCGACCATGAACCAGTGCAGAACCATATCACTCTTGAGTGTAGAAGAGAAAATCTTCTTTGCCATACTTGCCAGGAGGATGACGAAGTACATGACATCGAATGAGTACATCGATTCTTCTGTGCAGAAAGGAGGAATTCCAGGATTCCCTGGATGTATTGAACACACCAGCGCAATCACACAGCTAATTCGGGAAGCCAAGATCAATCAAGGAGACTTGACAGTTGTTTGGTTAGACCTGGCCAATGCATACGGTTCTGTCCCCCACCAGTTGATTTTCAAGGCGCTGGAACATTACCACATCCCGGATCACATCCAGAAGATCGTGAAGAGCTACTTCAGCAACATCAGGCTCCGATTCACGGTTAGGGAGATAACAACATCTTGGCAGGCACTTGAGAAGGGTATTGTAACAGGATGCACTATATCGGTCATACTCTTTGTGATGGGGATGAACCTGATCATCAAGGCGGCAGACCGGGAGACTAGAGGACCCAAAACTTCATCAGGAGTGCGAGTACCACCAAACAGAGGGTTCATGGACGACCTGACCATAACAACTACCACCCACGTGCAGGCGCGATGGATCCTGTCAGCACTCGAGGAAACAGTTGGATGGGCAAGGATGAAGTTTAAACCAAGGAAATCTCGATGTGTTGTGATAAAGAAAGGGAAAGTGACCAGAAAGTTCAAGCTCTCGATACAGCAGGAGGAGATCCCAACAATCGTAGACAATCCAATCAAGTGTTTAGGAAAGTGGTTTGATGCTAGCCTGAACGACAGCAAGAATATCAAACGTTTGCAGAACCAGGTGGAAGAAGGTTTGAGGAGAATTGACAAATCAGGACGGCCCGGTAAATTCAAATCGTGGATGTACCAACACGGGCTCCTACCACGCCTCACGTGGCCTCTAACCCTGTACGAGGTTACCACTACTACAGTGGAAATCCTGGAAAGGAAAATAAGCAAATGTCTACGACGTTGGCTTGGAGTCCCCCCAAGTTTCACCAGTGTGGGCCTTTACAGCACCACAGGCAAATTACAACTCCCATTATCATCGCTGGTAGAAGAGTTCAAGGTGGCAAAGGTTAGGCTGGTGATGACTGTTAGAGACTCCAAAGATGAGAAGATCCGGAATGCTGGAATTGAGACTCGAACAGGACGCAAGTGGTCAGCAAGCAGTGCGGTACAGGAAGCAGAGAGCAGGCTAAGGCACAGCGACATCGTTGGGACTACCTGTATAGGCAAACAGGGGTTAGGGTCAACGCGGGTGGAAAGGTGGGGAACAGCAGACACGGCTGGTAGGAGGAAGATGGTTCAAGATAACATCAGGAAGATGGAGGAAGAGATCAGGAAGGTTAAAGCTGTAGAAATGGGAGCACAGGGAGCATGGACCAAATGGGAGACAACGGAAAGACGTCTTACATGGGCAGATATCTGGAAGTTGGAACCATGTAGAATCCAGTTCCTCCTGCGATCAGTGTATGATGTCCTACCAACACCTACCAATCTCCACCGATGGGGGATGACGGAAAACCCCAACTGCCCACTGTGTGACCAACCGGGTAACCTGGCCCATGTATTGTCATCGTGCAACACCGCTCTGACCCAGGGGAGATATACATGGAGACACAACAAGGTACTGCGAGAGCTAGCAGACACCCTTGAGAAGGAAAGGCAGAAAAAGAGGAAATGTACCAAACATCAACCGTACATCAACTTTGTAAGATCTGGAGAGACAACCAATAAGAAAGCAGTGCACCAAGGAGGGATACTGGATGGAGCAAACAGTTGGGAGATGCGGGTTGACTTAGGACAAAGACTAGTTTTTCCAGAGGTCGTCCAAACCAACCTTCGTCCAGATATCCTGCTATGGTCACAGCAAGGGAAGAAAATGGTAATGATTGAGCTAACTGTCCCCTGGGAGGATCGATGCCAAGAGGCTCATGAGCGGAAGAAAGGGAAGTACGCCGATCTTGCAGACGACGTGAGAGCAAAAGGATGGAGTGTGTGGGTCTTGCCAGTAGAGATGGGGTGCAGAGGGATCCCTGCACAGTCCATGTGGAGGATGTTTTCTACACTAGGCATCCAGGGAAGAGACCGAAGGGCAGCTGTTCAACGACTATCAACAACAGCAGAGAAGTCGTCCAGCTGGCTTTGGTGGAGAAGAGAAGATTTGAGCTGGAAGCCATCCATCGACGGGCAGTGATTTGGCCAATCACTGTCGACTCGCCACCTTGAGGACGTCCCAGGATAGGAGTCGAAACGTCCAGTGAGAGGTGGTCCTGGCTGATGACGTCGATGGATTCTGCAGTCTAGCAAATGTTTTAAGGTAATTACATGTCTTAACATACCCATTTAAGATTTTCAACATTTGTTTTTTACCTTTTGGTTTGTTTAATGTTATTTCGTTTTGGATCGCTGTGTGTTTTACCGTTTGATGGCTCTAATGAACTTTTATGTGTTGACGGGCCGTTAAGAATGTAATGATGATAATAATAATACTAGTTCTGTTCATTCTTTATTGTCACATAAGGCAGATAAAATTGTATGCATCCTTTATATGGAGATTTTACTATCCGATATGAACATAAAACTGAATAGTCAAGTTTCACATTACTGTTGGTTAGGAGAGTTTCAACTGAAAATGATGCGCATGGATATCAAAATATCTTTTGTAGCATGACTTCCGATGCGGGAAATAGGAAAACGCTAGTCGCTAGTTTGACAATGTGTCGAATAAAGAATTCTTTCAAAAGGACCATGATGTTGCGATATGCCATATTCATCAGCTCGAACAATACATACTATATCGCGTTTTTATAGCGAACACATTTTACCGGTGGGAACACAAGGGGACATTGCACGTTACAATAAGAAAACGTGCGACTTGAAACCTTTGTGCGTGAGGCTTTTCTAAAGAAGGAGCACTTGGTTGCTGCTTTTATTGATTTGGAAAAGGCTTACGACACAACGTGGAAATATGGCATAATGAAAGATCTGCACGAAAAGGTATTAAAGGTAATCTACCAATTTTTATTTCAAATTTTCTATCAGATAGAGTATTTCAAGTCCAGAATGGAACGACCCTTTCCGATGTTTATTAGTAGGAAATGGTTACGGTTACACGTTTTGGACCTAAAATTAACAGTATTGTCAAAACATCCCCTTCAATGGAGGGCGCTCTTTATGCCGATGAATTCATTATGTCATTGATCTAAGCATATGCATACCATCGAAAGACAACTACAACAATGTTTGAATCAACTACAAATTTGGGCAGATGAAAATGATTTTAAATATTCACAATCGAAATCAGTTTTTGTCAAATTCGAAAAAAACACGACGATCCAAATCTTTCACATATAAAATACCTTAAAGCCAAATGCCTTAAGGCACTTAATATTCTAAAGTTTGTGTCCCATACTGATTGGGGAGCTGATAGAAAAGTTTTGCTAAGACTCTATACAGCTGTTTTTAGATTAAGATTAGACGACGGTTCCATTGCGAGACCTTCATTTCTCATATTATTAGACGCTGTTCATCACCAAGGTCTCAGACTCGCTCCCGGAGCTTTTAAGACCATACCTATAGCAAGCCTTTATGTAGAGGCTAACAATACATCAATATATAGCCGTCGAAATAAATTGGCTTTGCAATACCATACAGCTAAAGTCAAATCCTTAAAATCCTGCTATTTTCACTTGTATCTGATCCAAAATCCCCTGTTTCAAAACAAACCAAACACCATTCGGTATTCAGATTTCCGCTCTTTTACAAAACAAAAATATTGATATTGACCAAATTCAGTAATTTGGAACAATAGAAATATTCCATCCTGGCTTTTGAATTCACCTGAACTTGACTTTTCACTTCATGAAATGGTTCAGTTCATCCTTTTCGAAATTGCAGTTAAAATATAAAACATTTCTACATTTATATATTGATAGTGCAAAAGATAATGAAAAGGTTGCCGCGGCCATGGTTTCACGAGATGAAGCTTATAGATGCCGGCTACCGATCAACGCCTCAATATCCTCGGCAGAAGCGCGAGCTATCTACTTCGCCCTTATATATATAGAAAGTTTTAGCAATAGAAATAGCGAAAATATTTTCATTCGCAATACCTTAATACTATATCATGAACTTGTCGTTAACTTTTGTATTGCTTTTTGATTGGTTCCTGGACACATGGTAATACCAGGCAATGCAAATGCAGATCGTGCCGCAAAGGAAGCTTTATCGCTACCACCTGTTACTTTTAACATTCATTTTACTGATTTTAAACCATTGATCAAACAATTTATAATAGCCCAGTGGCAGGATGAATGGAATCAATATACTAACGATAAATGGAACTCTGTAAAACATATCATCGGTGATTGGTCTCCATGCTTTAGAGACAACCACCGAGACGAAGTTGTCCTTGCCGGTCTTCGGATGTACTATACATACATAACGCATTTGTATATGTTGAAGGGCGATGAGAATTCTCGGAACATAGGATGTGATAAGCCATTCACCGTTAAACCTTTTTTATTGGACTGCATTGACCTTCTGTCTACTCGAGAAATTATTTGGCAGTTGTTTTTATTTATTATTTATTTGTGGTTATCATTTTCACATGCTTATTTACAAAATAAATCGTTAAATAACATTAACAAAGAGCTTAATGTGAAGGTTTTATTTCTTAACATTTGATCAGTGACTATTTATGGATATGTTTAATCAGACATATCCATTTAAGATAAGTTTTATTTGTTTAATTTGATAAAAGTAAAGAAGAAGGCAGTAATAATTTTGCAGGAAACACACTGTTGTTACCACAATGTCAATTTAAACTAGAAATCGATAGAAATGTACATAAACATACAATGAATTGTACCAGAAAAATACGATGTGTAGCTGTTATATCATATATATACATGTATGTGATTCTTCTAAGTAATTAGCGACATATCAATCTTGTGAATGAGTGTATTTTGTATCAGTCATCATCTATACCGTGTAGTGACCAGTATATGAACCCAAGAGCCATATATATCAAAGTCGTTTACATGTCTTTTTGTATACCTTTCTGTTTTGATTATATCGGATTTAGTAATATATACCATACTATATTTTTGACAGGGTATCAATAAATCAAATATATTAGATCTGTTATCAATTGTTGGCCCCTTCACAACCTGGTTTTGATTATTTATCAAAGAACAAACAAAACCAACACTTACTTGTCCAGGAAATAGAACACGATTTTACTGACCTCTCCTTCATTTGTATTATCATATTCCGCTCTGTTGACAGTATACGTGTAATTATTGCAACGCACGATTTGGCGACGATTCAAAGGAAGAAAACAAAAACAAGAAAATACCAACATGTCAACATATTCATAATCTACAAACAAAGTCAACAATACCAGGGCAAACTATGATTAAAAGAAACGGAGACTCCTTATTGCACAAGGATAATTAGACCAGACGTTCTGAAATGGTACGCGTATTCTGCTTTATTGACAACACCCGCTATGTAAATCTTGGTCTCTTCAATTTAGTAAAGGCGCATTCTCAAATGAGACCAAGGTACATTGTATACAACAACGGATTCAACAGGCAAACTAAAGAGCATCAATTACGTTCAGCTTCAAAAAGTTATAGAGTTTTTATCAATGAGTTCACTCTAACGGCCGTAAAGCTTCCCCGTAATTTCCCGCGTGATTTATTTCCTTGAAACGTCGTCTTTAATAAGGAACAAGGATTCTGGACATCCCTTAACGAGGATTCATCGGCATCCCGGCCTCATATTGCGAGACATGTCCACGAGTTAGACCCCTAGACATCAGTCACAATTTGTCGCACAGAGGAGGGTTGACATATTCACCTATTTCATCATAATATAACTTTATTGGAACCAAATTGTGTAAAACCAATATGCATGCGAATCGATACCAGACGGATATCATAATAACTATCTGATGTTGCTAAAACATAAAACAAACCAGAACTAATTGAACAATGATCGTAACAGAGTTGCAAGGTCATGCAATTTCACAGTATGTATACCACGTATGCACGATAGGAAAAATCGGTCATAATGGCTAAAGCACAAATGTGCGACAGAGTTGGTGTGGGTAGTGTGCTAATCTCGGAAGGCATATCTGTTGGAAATTAAACCCGATTAGTAATTGTCATGGGCAATTGAAATGCCATTTGGTATCGGGAAGAAAGTTTAGCTCCCGACAACGTTCCGAATTTTAACGGCGTCAAGGGGCCCTATTTGTTTTGTAGCCTGATAATGTGACATCCTACACCAAGTATTAAGGACGTTCTTACAGCAGAACAATATCAAAGTTTTGGATTGGCCTGCAAAATCTCCCGATCTGGACCCGGTAGAGCACATATGGTGTGTTCTTGGACGACAGGTACGGCGTGGCCAAATTCGCCCTCTAAATAACAAGAATGGACGCCATCTGAGCTCGACTCACACCATTAAACGATATACAAGTTCTATGCGCCAGCGTGGTGATGATGCGTTCTTGCCAATGGTGGCCGCACAATTACTATCCTCTGCGAGACATGACCACCTAATTTTTTTTTACATCACACAAAATCACCGAAACAGAATGGATTATGTTCGGCAATGAAAAGTTCATAAGTGGACATCCTACTTAATCTTTTGACAGCCCATGTGCCATATTTCACTGAAACTGACATAGTGCTGCCGGAACAAATATTGATAAACTTTATGTAACGTGTTAAAGCGGCTATTAACTTTGATTTCAACATCGGGAAATGGAGAATTCGGCTTAGGAATAATAAAATATATCCATAACAAAGCGATACACGCGCCTATATCGTCAAATTTGTTGTTTTTGTAAATATTTCCGGCGTCAGAACATTGTTTATCTTGCCTATTGTTTATAAACATGTTCACGCTGGGTTTATTAAGAAGAAAGCCGAGTGGGTCACATAGTTTGTCACGTGACGAAGTCATTTACTTTCGCCACAAAGAAAAAATTGGTTACGAGGAAAGTGTAAACAAACGCACATGTCTTATGTATGACACTTGTCATATACGTTTTAACAATCAATCTTAGTAATTCGTTTTGTTTTGCTTGTCGTGCGAAAAGTATCTATGTCAATCGCGGGCGCTCAACTAATGGGGCCCCAAAGTGGGGTAATTACAATCAGAAAAGAAAAAAACTCATCG